GAAAACACATAAATACCTACAGCGGCATTTAAAACAATTCCAGCCAACTTAACAGAGAAAAAAATCCTCCAACTGATGTAAATATGAATTGATAATCCGGTTTGCTGTTTTGTTTCCGGCAGGAACTCGCCTCGGCTCAACTTAACAGAGTCTGCGGAGAAAATACCGGGATAACTGCGAACAATAACACTCAGGATGTCTCGGCATGAGACAAAAATCAAACAGGCGTCGATGAAAAATGACAAAATTAAGCGCATTGCATGTTGAAGGAAGTGAAATTACATCCCGGATGAGACACGTTAGCGTAATAAAAGCGCACGCCACGAATCTGCGAAACACGTCGTATATATGCTCGACGTGCAGCGATTGTCGGCGGCTGGATGACAGCTGTCTGGCGGCGTAAATAAAAGCCCCTGTAGTGCCGGCGCGCCGCCCCCGCTCCACTTGCCTTCCGCGCCTCATATCCTCGCGAGATTTCGCCGATTCCAATTCGCTTTTCCTTGTTATACAACGTGCGTTCGGCGTGTTGTGCTGTGCCAATCAAACGCCGCTCGCAATCGATAAAAACCCCTGTGGATGTATGTAAGGGCTATGACTATGAGCTATGAGTATTAGCAGTTAATCTCTCGTCCTGGGTTCACTCTGTGATTCGCCTTTTCGCGTTCGGCTCGCTAGCTTTCCGGCGGCGTGCAATTGAATTCATCATTTATGTGCCGCGCCACGCATCTAGATAGATAGTTGGAGCACGTACGGACACTGGCTGGTAAGAAAACTGTAAAGAAAGCGAAATATTTTTAAAGCCGCCGCGTCGAGCACAATGCGATGGGATTCAATGAAACGCCGACCGCTGCGAACATGGACACGTCGCGGAGAGTGAGTAAGGAGCATTTCCGGATGCTGGGCGATCGTCGGTTTTCCAATATACGCTCGCGCGCTGCTTATTGTTTTCGATCGTGAGGCGAACCGAGACGGAAAACGGACAGATGGAAAGATTGAAAGATGGAAAATAAGAGCAAGCGTTATCGGTGCGCGTATGTCATCCCGAACAGCTAGTGTTGTTCCGACCTTCGGGAACGCCGGCTGAACAACTTCGAGACAGGGGGCTGGGACATGTCCGTTGGACAATGAATTTTCTACATTCCCAATAAGAGCTAAGACTATTGCATGTCGGCGGGGAGTCTCAAATCAAAGATCGCACGTAATTTATCTACCTGCCGTGTTTTTCCAAGCAAAAAAACATTTTAATTCATTTTAAATCAATCAATCGACAATAAACTCATAACAAACACCTAGAAGACTAATTCCTCCGGCGGGGCGTGAGCATACCTCATGAATTAATCATTACAAGGTGCATGAAAAGTTAATTGCTGATTAATGACGAGCGACGGATTTTTTTTTCGCACGAAAAAACCAACCGACGTTGATTAGGCCCAGCAGGGGCTCATTATAAATGTTTCAGTGCAATCTTTGCGTTTTTATCAAGAAGCAATAAACCGCCCCCACGATTTATTACCGCACAAAGATATGCGAACATAAACGTAAAAGATTTCACGTGGGAAATGGTGTCGTTACGCGCTACGCCGCCGGCAGTCTACACACTTTATTTTTTGCATAATAAAAATATGTTTTAATGATTTTTTCACGTTATGATTATGCATAGCGGCGGCAGTGGCAGTGGCGGTGGTGGTGGTGCGTTAACATTGACCAGCGCAGTCGACCGCGCGCTTGTTTATTTTCGCTCGCCGAAAGGCGGCGGCGGGCGAAAACAAGAAAGCCCGCGGTTCGCAAAGTAAATATCCTCGGCAGCCGCCGCCGAGAGGCACCGCTGAGACCTGCGCCGGCTTTAAAACGTAAATCACCGCGTAATATTGTAGTGGCAAGTCCGGTCATGATAACGACATAACAAAATCGCTCGCTGTGCGCAATAAGTACCGATTTGGGTTTCAGGCCGCGGGGGGGCGGCGGCGGCGAGAGATATTCGAAAAGCGCGGCCCCGCATTTAAACGGCATTAGTCGCGAGTCATTAGTTCGCTGCGGCATATAAAAAAGTCGCTCCAACAACAAGAAAAATACAAACGGATTTAAATGGTTTATTGTTTTGTTGTATTTTTCGGTCGTTCCATTCGGTCGGCGCTCGCGCGCGCGCGGGCGCTTTTTTCCTCGCTAGATTTATTATCGATGCAATTACCTTTTCGATGCAGGTATTCATTCGCCGCTTAGGCGGGCATGAAAATTGGATATACGTCCAGTGTAATCGGCGATATTCGTAATATCAGTGGATAGCGATGCGGAAAATATTAAAGGACGCTTCAAACTTTAATTTAAAATTCTTTTACTGCTATTATTATCGCATTGCGCTGCAATAATATACAAATTTCAACAATTTCAAGCGCATAGTTTATTTAATTATGAATTTTTGTAATTTGTTTAAAATTTTATTAGCATTCTGTTACTAATAACTACTCGAAGTTATTTTTCAATTAGATTGTATGCATTTTTTTGTTCTCTCGTTTGCGCACAAATTATTGTTTGATTGCAAGATATATAACACTCAATTAAAGGCCGCACTGGAAATCAATAAAGCGATTCGTATGTGTAATTACGGAGCAATTTCCCACATGCACACGCCGGCATTTATTAAGAATAACAAATATTATTCTCCATCGCCCGTCACGAGTGCAAACAAAGCGGTTAATTAACTACAGCCCCCTACTTTACACCACCGCCACTGCTGCTGCAATTTTCAGGTTCGTCTTTGAGTTCACACGCAATTTGGGCGTATTTGAAATTTATGTTTATTTTTTTTTACTCAATGACGAGGCCTTTGTTATTTTCAGCGAGCTGTCGCAATGCATCGCGGCTGCTGCACGTCAGTGACGCTATCGGCGTGAAATTGCACAAATATGCGAACTTCATTCCGGCGGAATGAAAGACTTAACGAAACAAAAAATGTATATATACAGCAGTGTATAGACGTGGCATTGACAGTTTTTTGATTTTAAATTTGCCTAATGGTGGAGCGGAGACGCGCCCGCCTGGCAAACACGAAAATGTTTCGACTCGCCGGGCGTTTTTCGTCCACCACCCGGAAATTGCGCTCTAATAGAAATCACTAGATTACCCGTAGGTAGCCGAAGAAGCAAAACAAATGCAGTAAAAAGCGATTTTTTGCTCGCGCTGCCGCCGCCGCCGGTGAATTATATGTTATTACGAGTTGTGCGCTGTAAAAATAACGCATGCAGGTGTAGAATGAATGTGCATTGTGTACTGAATTTCGAAACTAATTACAGTTTGTAAGTTTCGGACGCGACCGGTTATTACACAATATCGAACTTTGCAGGCATTAGCGCACGAAATCGTAGGAAAATCCGCGTTATTTGCGCCCTGCCCAGCGCCCAACTCGCACGTATCGTAATTAACTCTTTCAATTATTGACGCCGAATCGACCAAATTGCCTGTGATGCGATTTGCTTTTTTTCCGCGCACACAACTTGCTGTTCGATTAGCGCGCGCTCAGTTCAAACCCTTCCAGACTGTGCTTCCGGTATTTTTCATTTCAATAAATTTTAATAAGCGCGCGGGCGCAAAAAAATCGCCGCCAGCTGCAAAGAAGCGCAAAGACAATCGTGCACAAACTAAATTAGCATGTTGTTGCCTTCGTGACTCGCTGCGGCGTTTTCCGTTCAGTTATTATAAATAATCTCGCGAAATAATAACTTTGCTCATTAAAATTCGCTTTGTGTGCGCTCGCCGTCGGCCGGCAGCGAATTCAATTGACATAAAAATCTTTGGCGCACCACTTGTAGGAAAAAAACTCGCAATTAAAGTCTGGACAGCAGCACCCCGAGCCGGGACGGGATTATAAACATCGAATGGTCATTAAGCGCGCGCAGGCAGCAATAGCACAGCTTGACCCTTTGACCTCCAACCACTCTCTTTCAGAATTTTAATAATGTTTCAATTTTTAGTTTCGGAATAAAAACGGCAGCGCGCCGAAATTGTTTAACTCCGTGCGCTCCTTTATTACTTATTACCCTCGGGAGTGAAGTAATCAAAAACTGCCCCCAGGCATAAAGTGCTACAATGGCTAATAAAACTAAATAATAGTTGGCATGGCTTAATGTCTTATTGTTCATTTATGAGCGCCGGCGTGGCGTTACGAGTGCGTCCAAAGACCGCTGCCGCCGCCGCACTTACCACACCGCCACGGCCCGGCGGACCGTGTTAAACCCGGACGCGTTTGACAAATTTAATTCCGAAACGCGAAAATTGTTTCGAAAGTTCGCGCCATCTCGCCACCTCGCCGCTGCGCATTTTAATGCGACGAGGATCATTAATCCGTTTCGTTGTTAAAGTCCGCCGCGCATGCGCCCCACGACTATGATTCGCATGAAAATTCAAATTCAAAAAGTTTAAACACTTAAAATCTGTTTGTTCGTTTAAGTGCAGCTCATTGCCTTTGTAATTACCGAACGTGACGTCGCGTTTATTACGGAATTTATTTTATTGTGCGCTGGCTCTTCAAATTAACAATATCTATACATTGTTGTTGTACGAGAAATTTTAATAAAGTCGTGTTAGTCATTCCGTATCGAATATTTAAACCCGCGCATTTTGTTTGCTCGACACAGATATAAAAACGAGCGGGAAAGTTGTCCAAAGAAAAATGAGCTCAATCTGTCCAAGAGGCTGAGGGAAGGCGCTCGTCGGTGGAAAAGTGTGTAAACCACTGTAGAAAGATTTCGTGAGTTTAATTGTCTAATTACCATCTAAATTGCTACTTTTCTCCGCTCTTGGCCGATCCACGCGCAGAAGGATTCGCCCGAACACACATAAAGCGGCGGGCGCGGAACGTGGGGTAGCAAACTTGGGGACAGTTTAAGCTGCGCAATTTTTAAGAGTCCGCCGAATAGAAATATAAAGAGCACGCCGAGTCGAGAGTCCGGACGCGACTTTTTTCCTCTCCTTCTTCTCCTTTTTGATTATTTTAACATCGGGGAGAGCAGGTAGGATTCGTACAGTAGGAGCATTCGTACAGTCCTTATTCCTACCACTGTAGAATACTTTGACAGGTCTGTGTTTGTGTGCGTGAGACCCACTCGCACGCATAGGTTACTCGCGGGGTGAGACGTCAGTGCAGCCGCCGGCTTCGACGCAACGAGTCGTAACGTGATTTCGCGCCAAGTAAGTATTTTTTTGGTTATGTTTTTAAACATCTTTGTTTATTCACGCTTTATTCCTATTGTAAAAGTGAATGTACACAGTTTGTGAAGGAATAACTTAGTTTAGCATGTAAATATAGATTTTGGCCCAGTTTCAGCGGTTATTTTTATTTTCGATATTAATTGTTTTTTTTGGTGTTGGGGAACCTTCGTACAGGTAGGGGGTGGGGTAGATTCGTACGTGTACGAATGCTCCCCGTGCCTGACTGGACATTTAAATGTATCTATTTTTCAGTAAAATCTAATATTGTTACAGAACCATGCCGCGAATATATATTAAAAAGGGGACGAGGACGGGAGAGGTAGATGAAGGTGCAATAGAATCGGCGATAAAAGAAGTTTTGGATAAGACATTATCTATTAGAAAATCTGCACAAAAATATGGCGTCAAACCAACAACACTCGAAAGTCGTCTGAAAAAGTTTCATCAACAAGAAGCTGCCGAAAATATGCCTACCCGTGCGTTCACTTCCAAGTTTACGTCAAATCAGGTGTTTTCAACTGAGGAGGAAGCCCTTTTAAACAATTACATTATTGAATGCTCCAAAATGCACTACGGTCTGACGATCATCCAGGTCAGAAAATTGGCATATGAGTTTGCAAAAGCCAATCAGCTTAATTTTCATCCGAGTTGGCATCATAATAAAATGGCTGGTAAAGAATGGTTGGATAGTTTCCGCAGGCGAAACGGAAACCTGAGTCTTAGAAAGCCTGAAAATACCAGCGCCGCTAGATCATTTGCTTTTAACAAGACTGCTGTAACTGATTTTTATAATAACCTTGAAAAGGTTCTAACAAAGTACAAATTTACTTCAGATCGTATTTTTAATTTTGATGAGTCCGGAATTTCCACAGTGCTGAGCACACCTAAAGTTTTAGCTGAAAAGAATCAAAAACAAATAGGCCAACTTGTGTCAGCAGAGAGGGGAGAACTAGTTACATTTGGAGGAATAATTTCAGCTAGTGGTAATACAATTCCACCACTATTTATCTTCCCGAGGGTTCACTTCAAGGACCACTTTATGACAGGTGCACCAGAAGGAAGCCTGGGAGTTGCAACAAAAAATGGATGGATTACTTCTGCTATATTTATAGAGGTACTGAAACACATCCAAAAGAAATCGTCGTGCTCTAAAGATAATCCCATTTTGTTGCTTGTCGACAACCATGAGAGCCATGTGACTATTGAAGCTGTAAACTATGCTCGTGATAATGGGATTATTTATCTATCCTTTCCACCCCACACGACACATCGTCTCCAGCCTTTAGACATCGGAGTATTTGGACCGTTTAAGGCTAAACTCAAGATAGCTTTTAACGATTGGCACGTGAATAACCCAGGCAAAACCCTCAATATATATAATATACCACGACTGGCTAAGATAGCATATTTTGAATCCTTTACTGGTAAAAATATCACTCATGCCTTTGAGAAGGCCGGAATATGGCCTTTTAATAGGTTAGCTTTTCTGGCGACGATGATTACAGACAGAGTTTATTCAACAAAACCTTCCAAGTTGTTCATCATCTGTGTCTCCATCTTTGCTATCACCTACAACAGTAACAGATTGCTGCTGTGGGGTTGATCACCCCAGAGTTAGTCAGGCCATATCCTAGAGTGGAAGAGATTCAATAAAGAAAACAAGGAAAGGAAAGCTAGGCACTAGGATACAAAAAGATAGACTGGCAGAAATAGAAAAAGGAAGACTATTGAAGAAGCAAGTGCAAGAGAAAAAACAAAAAGCTAAGGCCATCAAAGCTCTACATCTTGTCTTAGATGCAGATAACGCATCTTCAATAAAGAGGAAATCTCAATCGAAAGAGTCATTTAATTTAAAGAAGCAAAAGAAAACTACAAAGACTGATAATGAAGCAAATGCATATTATATGATACCTATGAATACCTAAATAATATATCTTGGTTCTTAATACAAAAATGCTGATTCTGTGTTAAATTGATCTCAATAAATGATTAAATTTAATCAACAATTGTTTATTTTCTTTGACTGTATGAAGGTACCCCATCATGTACGAAAGTACCCACACTATGCACGAAGGTACCCCGTGTGTGGGGTACTTTCGTACGATTTCCATTTTGGAAAACTGATCATAATTCTGTCTGTGTGATTTGTGACGGAGCTGTACCATACTATAATTATAGGCAGATATATAGGCTATATAGGGACATTAAACTTATTCGAATATATTATATAGTTTAGTTTTAATATGGCGTCAAGTAAAAATGTACGAATCCTACCTGCTCTCCCGGCACGCGCAGTAACGTTGTTAAAAAGTATTAAATTCAAAACAAAATTGCAGCAAAAGCGGCTGTTTGCCTCTCTGATAGTTTCGCCGTGATGTCGCCCCCATTACGGGGGCGAAAACAATACGGCGATACGTTTACGGTTCATGTATTCGAATTGCACGCGCCGTTGCTGATGCTGATGCGCTCTGCTCGACCCGCGACCAAGCTCCTCTCTTCGCAACACAGAAGTAGATACACTTAGCCGCCGCCGGGAGCCGGCAAGAATGCCGGCGCTCTCGTAATTGACTGCGCACTACCCAGCAGGAAGCACTAGCGCCGGCAACTTCTAGGACAACAGATGTAAATTTAGCAATTTTAGATTACGTCCGCAAATTAGACGCCACCGGGCGCCGCCGGGCGAAAAAACCGTCGAGCAATAAGCCGGAGTGCCTCGGTCGTCTCGACATCTAATGAAACCACGGAATTTAATATAAAATTCGCAGCGCGCACGGGTTGTTATTAAAAATATTCGCAAGTATGTGGAGGGCGCGCACTTAGAGGAACAAATGCCACTATGTGACGCTTTCTAGTTGCTGGGAGTAAACTAGGGGGGCGGCACATGACGTAAAATATGTTCGACATTTCTCACAAGTGCGCATTATGAGCGAAATTCATTTTCCAATATTCACGAGGCGAAAAAATCTACATGCGGCAAATTTATAAGCACGCGCATGTTGGACGCCGCCGCTCCTCGATCATGAATAACAATGGACTTGGCCTCCGCTGCTATGGCATGTTTTTCGCGTTCCGTCAAACTCTTACGCTCATAGCACATGGGGAATTCCTATTATGTCCAGCCATAAATCTATTTTTAACTCGTGTTTTATTTCGCAAAATTTTCAGTTTTAAGTCAGACTTCTGTTGAAATTTTAGTTAAAACTTACTTAGCCAAGTTTAAAAATATTTTTATCATTACTTTAAAATAGTTTGCTGATAATTTTCCCGAACAAGGTGTAAAAACGCGTGAAATTTTGCGTGTGAGAAAGTAATTAATTAATTTAAGATAAATTGCTTGATTGTGAACGTGAATGTGTACTTGGAACTAATTTTTGCGTTGAATGTTTAGATTTGCGTGTCGCGCCGGAATCAAAGGTACGTCCGCAGTCGACGAATATCGAATTCAATACTTAAAATAAATAGAAAGCGCTTGCGAAGTGTAAAAGCTTTCAACAGTCGTGCACAAATGTAATTGCACGCCGAGGCGACAGTCCGCCCCCATTCAGACGCCGTCGACGAGATAACTGTTTGTTTGCCATCTAAAAACATGCTGGGAGTGAAAGGAGCCGATCGCTCCGCGCAAATAATTAAAAATAACTAAAACTAGTTGCTGTGTACAGCGGCAAGTTTTCGCACTTTGTCAAGATCGCGAATCGCGCGCCGATGTTATTCCGCACATTCGCAATTATTTCGTGTCTGTTTGCGAACGCTTTTAATTAAAATTCATCGCAAAAATGAATAATAAATAGCGCACAAAAGGCGACCTAATAAAAGTAAACATTAAGCGGAGACGTGCAAACAGCAAAAAATAAACTTTAAATAATGTAAGATGTTCGTTTGACGGCGGCTGCTGCGGCGGCAGTGACGAGAGCGCTCTTCGCATCGAGAGACGACTAACGAAAAGGCACACAAGCACAACCACCACCACCACTCGCGTCCGAACGAGAGACATTTATTGGAATATTAAAATATGAAGCGCTGCGGAGATAAAGCGGGGCACGCAGCACAAAAAAATGGAAAATAAACGAATTCGCTCCTCGTTCGTCGGCTCGTCGGCGCGTCGTCTCGCCGATGAAACGAATTGAAAGTCCCCTACTTCTTCAGCGCTGGAGAAGGATGCGAGGCACTCCTTTTGAATATGTAAAGAGTTTGTTTATTCCGAGGGGCGCGTATCGAAATGCATAATCGTAAACGAAGACGGATAACTTGGAGCGGGCGACTCGCGCGCGCAATTTGTCGCCGCCGGCCGCGAATTCGCATAAACAATAAATTATCTCAACCGCATCGGGAAACGGAATACACGCCGCAGCGTTGTCGCATCGGGGGATCATCGAAATGGCGCACGACGCGCCAACACGAAACATGCACAAAAGCAGCTCGCGCACAAAGGCAAGATTTTAATTTAGATGCAACTCTCGTGTGTGCCAGCTTTTTTTTTGCACTCCAGCGCACCACTTGGAACATTAAAACAAATTTCGGACACCAATTTCACATACTTTCTGAACTAAACACACTTTTGAAACGTGTACTTACCGGCTAAATTAAAACATAGTCCAAAACTTATATAATAATAAGCATAATATAAATAAAATTACCGCCGAAAACACGACTTGCCCTTTAAACTAAACGTAAATAATGCGTAACTGAAAATTTATCATCAACTATATTTATTTCGCAGGTGGGCAGTGTTTTTTTTTTTGCGCACCGATGTGATTTACTGTAATTTCTTACTTGCGGCAGTGCTGTATTATCAGATCATTAGTGGAACAATAAAACTAATACGAGTTCTTGTCGGGGTCGGCCCAGCGACCATAAACAAAGCGCGTGCACGGCGGGCGTAATTTAGGAAACGTGCAAATGAATTTATTACGCATAAACGGGTTTCAATTAAATGAATTGCGAGCGATCACGTGAAAATGGTTGATATATGAATGTGGGTGACGTGCCCGCGGGCAATTAACGAATTTTTTTGCGTGCACCCTCGATTTTCACTCCAATTCCGCGCGCGGCTTGCATTCGCAACGCTGCACGCTCACGACCTACGTGCGCATGTTTTCTATTTAGCAACAATGGTATTATACCCAGCCGCAGTAATCTAAAATGCTGAAATTAATTAAAGATTTGCGCTGGGCGAGTCCAGAAGGCAACAAGTTGCGGCGCATGTTCACGCCGCGGGTGAAAAATAATTAGACGAATGTTGAATGTCGATTGTAAGTAAATGTTGCGTTTATTTTTTTGTTTCTGCAGCGTGTGCTTGTGCCAGCTTCACCTCAAAACCCACCCCCGCGCAAATGTGAATAAAGGTGACATATGACGCCATATAAACTCTCCGAAGCGCGACATTTATATTGCAAATGTGATGTAATATGCTCGTTTCACTGTCTCGCGTCTAACGTGGGCCGTTACCATTCGGTTATTGCGCCCACGTCGCATCTTTATCATTACTTTTTGATCGACCGCTTGGAAAAAAAACTTTTATACTGACCCCATCGGGTTTAATGAAGTTGCATTGGTCGAGTGGTGTAGATATTACAAACTCAATTTAATTATCAGTCCGGCTGGTGGTATTTCCGCGTCATTTCCGTGCAACTTTCGCACCTACAACGCTTTTCCATTTCCATCACGTCGCGTTGTGTTCGGAGGCATATTTTGTCGGATTTATTTCATTACCTTTGCCGAAAGTCACTCACGCAGAACAATAACTATTCGAATCATCCGCACAGTGAAGTAATAAATTATTACATCGCCCGAATGTAAGTTTTGCGCGCGCGACAATAAATCCACGTGTAATTTACGATCAAAAATAATCGAAAAATTAATTAACCAAGTCGTAAATTCAATAAAACGCAGCACCGCGTTCGAAATAATTATAATGCGCCATCGCTCATGCTAGCAGATGAAGCAGATAAAAATTAAATAGAAAGCCACACGTCGCAAATAACATGTGTAACGTTCGAATGTTTGGCCAGCTTGTCGGTCGAATCCGGTCTGGTTTTATCCTGGTTGCCTCGGGGCCGGCGAGGGAATAAAACGGGCATCGGTCCCGCGCGTAACACTCCCGGATGCATTCCGCGCTGCTGGGGTCGCGCGCTCGTTTTGATTAATTTATAATGAAAAACTGGTACGCCACGCGGGCAAAGTTGCTCGTATTTATGGTATTGTGATGCGCGAGGGCGGCGTGCGCTATCAACTTACGTTGGCGCGATAGGATTAATGCAGCGCGCGCTAGTTAGTCCCAAGCGCGCAAAAATACCGCCGCTCGTAATGCTTTATGAGCCGCGGGTTTTAACATCTGTCCGGAACTGTCGGTGCAAAGAGATTTAAACGCCGCGCGCCGGGGATGGATCACGCATCAAAAGGCCACTCCTATTAACACCGAAATTAATAAACAAAACCACAACACTTCAAATCCTTTTTTTTTTCTCTACCTGCGAGTTTATTCAACTTTTCGGCCAAAAAATAAAATTTTTAAAAACTGAGTTTATATTTCTGTGTGTTTTACTAATTGAAAATTTTATTTGAAAATTTAAAGAACACTAAATGACTAAAATGACTTATCGATCA